TTTTCTTGGTTTATACATTAGTACATCTAAATTTCAGGTGCATTTTCATTATTTTGTCTTTGTCCAAACCAGACTGTTGCTCTTGTTAAAGACTAACCTATTTGGAGAGAGGGAACACACACTATGCTCTATGTAGCCTTTTTGTATGTGCTGAACTCTCAGTGTTTGTTATTCACATTGAATTTGAAAATATTCTGCTATAACAAGACAACTCCCAACTCTTTTATGCACTACTTCCTGAGAAGGCTCCTACATCATCTCTAAGAAAAACAAATTCAGTCAACAAGTCAAAAGTCCATAAAGCACAAGCAAGCTCAAGATGAATTGAGAAAGAGCTAGGAACCAGCAAAGGAGGATAAGTTAATGGGGCTTAGGGGTTATCATCCCTAAACTTAGAGAGGCATGTCCATTTCTTCTCCCACTTTTTCTCTACTTTCTACAGTGGATTCATGGGATGGCTAAGAAGGGTGATTTTAATATAGCTGAAAATGAACCTCATCAGAGCCAGATATTTTAGTTTTGAATCTACCTTGTTCTAAGTATTTCCTCTAACATGTTGTAGGCATGGTCACATCTAAGCCTTATGTTTCATAAGCAAAGTGCAATCAATATTTTTTTTCATGGAGATGATAATTAACTTATAACAATGTACATTTAATGTGCCTGGCAAAATGGACAGCAATAAGTAAAATATGAGAAGCACTCCTTCTTCTGTTCCATGGAGCTTAGAGATAATACTAGTGAAAACTCTCTCTCTCTCTCTCTCTCTCTCTCTCTCTCTCTCTCTCTCTATATATATATATATATATATATTTGAAAGTATATGTGTGAGTATGTGTATGTGTGCTTGCACTTTTGTGGTAAAGTCTTCCTTGCATATAAGAGATCATGTTCCAGGCATACCTCGCTCATCATTTGATAGAAATTCTCCAACTAGACAAGACAAATTCCTTCACAAAATGGGAACTGGTGACCATTAACAGTGTTATTGAAGAATCGTAGTTTCAAAACTGACAGCTGTACTGATCTACAATTTTATACTGAACACAAGAGCTCTAAGAGTCATGAAACTGCTTCCTAGTCTATACACACTATTCCCGGGGAGAATCCAAGTTCAAGAGGCACATCTTTAGCTCTGAGTAGTGATGCTAATGGTAGAACTCATAGACACTGAGGCAGAAAATCAAAGGAAATACTGCTATTTTATAATAATAATAATAATATATTTTTTTAAATTTTTATTATTTGTCCAGTAATAATATTATAATACTTACTGGACAAATAGTGTTCTTGATGTATTAACCTTTGAAATCTTTTAAAAATGATCATTCTGTTTATTTGTTCTAATTTGTTATACATGTCAGCAGAATGCATTTCAATTCATACTACACAAATGGAGCATAATTTTTCTTTAAAACCTTAACCAGAAATGTATGTGATAGTTTCTACTTTATTCCCATTATATATATGAGATGATTGCAAAGAGTGACACATGATGGAAATGAGTCATAAAGCTAGATTATATGTCTTCACAGTCTGTGTTCTCAAATTCTGTATCAGATGGGATGAATTATTAAATTGTTCAAAATACATCATTTATTTATTTACTGAACATTTATGGAATTGACCACTCCCTGTCCAAGCTCCCAGACCTCTTTTTCATACCTTTTGTAGTACTTTAACAAATTCAATAAAATAACTTGTTGACATGTGGTTTTATCAGTAGACAGAGTACAATGACCATATCTGAGACATCTGTTGCACTTATATTATCTAGCCTGTTTCATGGTTCATACCTTGAGTTGGTCATGGGACAGACTCTGTTGGATATTTTAAAGTAAGGAGTAAAGTGAAGAATAAAAACAGTTTCCAACATGACATTGCTCTCAGTCTCTGAGAGGGTCAAACAAAGGAAACATGGTATTTTCCCGTGAGGCAGAATGAAATAAGACCTATAATTATGGTATCATAGTTTGTTGCTGGGGAGCCTCAGAGAAAGTAGCAGTTAATTATTATTGTAACTTGAATAAAGAAATGAGGAGTTCAAAGGTTCTCAGCAAAAATAAATTATAAATGTTTAAGGAGATGGAAATATAATTATCCTGATTAGATCATCAAACATTGAATATATGTATGATATTATCACACTGAACCTTAAAATATGTGAAAACAACACAAAGAGAAAAAATATCCTGGAGAACATTGATATGCAATGTAATGTGAAGTAATACCATATCTGAATACAATTAAGTTTTAGCAACTTGCTTGGATGATTTGGCACGAGGCCATTAACACTGGATGTGGGAAAAAAGATGAGCCGAACTCTACAGATGCCAAGAGCAAAACTTACTAAGAAATAGTACATGCTTCTTTTATTTATTTATTCATTCATTTATTTATTTCCATTTTTTAAAAAATATGTTTTAATTAGTTACACATGACAGTAAAATGATCTTGACATATCATACATTTGAATCAGATGGGGTATAATTTCTCATTTTTTGAGTGTACAGGTTGCAGAATCACATTGGTTATACAGTCATGTATATACATATAGCAATAATAATGTGTATTTTATTCTGCTGTCCTTCCTTTCCCCCCTTCCCCTCCCCTCCCCTCCCATCACTTCTCTCTACCCAGTCTAATGTGACATACTTCTTTTTTTTCCCCTCACATCATCATACCTGTATTCTGTATAATGAAGTGGGTGGTAGATAGAACAAAGGTTGATTATAAGCCTCAGTTTTTATATTTTTAGCAACAGTTTTCTGATTTTCAGGATGAAGGATCATGCTTGCATCTACTGAGAGGGTTGTTGTGGTATCTAGTGAGCAAGTGTAACTATTAGCATATTTAATAGTTCCCCAATATTAGTTTCATTACACTTGAAATGTTTGAAAATAAATATTTGTTTCTTGGCTTATTTATTTTTAATAGGAGATTTATTATCATGGTATATAATCGAAAGTTTATCTAAATGTATTTTATAGGTCACCTATATTCCTCAAAATATTGTGGAACAAACCAGTCCAAAACCCAGAGCAAGCATCACATATATTAAACAAATGAATTCTATTCAGAGTTTCCAAAGAACTCTTGCAACTCAAAAAAAAAAGTGTTTTTTAAATCTCATAAAAGGGGCAAAAGATTTGTACATACATTTGTCAAAAGAAATGATGAAAAAGCACATCAACTTATATGCAATGATTAGTAACTTGGAAAATGCGAATCAAAACCATAATAAAATACCTCAACATACTCATTAGTTTGGTTAAAATGTAACAGACTCTATAATACCAGGTAGGGGTTGTGGCTCAGTGCTAGAACTCTTGTCTAGCATATGAGAGGCCACCAGGTTTAATTCTCAGCACTGCCAAGAAAAAGACCATATTGAATATTTGTAAGAATATGAAGTCAACTGGAACTCTCCTTCTTTGATGATGGGTATGCAAAATGGTACAACTACTTCAGAAAAATGTCAGGTGCTTAAAAAGCTAAATAAATACAGGTAGACTTATAATGTGGACCATGTGATCATTCCACTATTGTGTGCTTATCTAAGGTAAGTGATAATATATGTCCACACAAAGACATGAATATTCATAGCAGCTTTATTCACAGTAGTCCAAACTTAAAACAATTCAGATGTCCACCTACAAATGAATCTCTAAACATAATGTGATATATCCAACCAATGGAATACTGCTAAGAAATAAGAAGCGATTAAATATTGATAGATGCTATGACATGCCTGCATTTCAAAATAATTATTCTGAGTTATTGAAACTAGACATAACGGAGTATATATTGTATAACTAAATTTATTTGAAGTTGTAGAAATTTCAAAAGGATCTATATTGAAAGAAAGCAGATCTGGGAGCAGGAATAGATGGGTTACAAATGGGGCACTTTGTAGAAAAATATAAACATGAAAATATGTAGGAAAATTTTTTGGGTGATGAATATATTCACTATCTCCATAGTCATAAGAGTTTCCTATGTGTGTACATATATGTTTAAATGATCAAATTTTACACTAAATTTTTGCAGTTTGTTGTATTTCAATTATACTTAATAAAGTTATTTTTAAGAACTCCATTGTCTGTATTTCATATTAAAAATTTATGAACAGGGAGTGTAGATCAGTGGTAGAGTGCTTGCCTAGCATGTGTGAGGGGTACTGGGTTCAATCCCTGATATAGTGGTGAAACAAACATTTGCATCTTACTTATGCAACTCTGAGGTTGTGATGATTCAATCTGAATTCCATTAGATTTGGTTCCAGCCTCTGAACCAAATGCTCCAGTTATCTCAAATTCTCCTTAAAATACCAACCTAACTAGGTTAAGTTCTTTCCATAACAGAGTAAGATGAATAAATTAAACATAAATGTGAAATTTCTCAAAACCTCACACCAAAACTGAAGTACTGTCATTTCCCTATTTAAATGGTTAAAATTAATTGGCATATTCAAATTCAACATCAGTGAGGCTGTTAATTAGATACTCACTCTCATGTGTAGGTAGTTCTGAACGATAATTGCAAACAATTCAGTCTACCACAGGTAATCACACTGAAAAGTGCCATTATATTACCTATCCTCCTAGTTTCCCTGCTTTGAGACAACCAACTGTATCGAATTTCATGAGCTTTTAAGTTATATGTACATGTGAATTAATTTATTTTCTTATTTTGCAGAAATATTATATACTATGCACACTGATTTATATTTTGCTCTTCATTTGAATTATTTTGGAGACTGTCCTTTATTGGTATATAAAAATTACTTATTACCATTCTACAGATATTGTAGCTCACCATGTTCATATATTATAATTTAATGAATCCCCTTTCTATGGGCATTTGTTAGTTTCTAATTATTTGCTTTTATAGAAATTGTAGTAATTGGCATCATATACACATAAGTTTGTACATGTGGAATGATATTTGAAGACAAATTTTGAAAAGTTCTAATGGCAAGAAATTTTATTTTGGTTCAGGTCTTGCCAGTGAAGAGACCCTGATGAAACCAAAACTGAACATTTTGGGAGATCAAGTGGTGATCCAGGCTGGTGGAGTGTTTGACATTACTTGCAGGTAATAATATCAAGGCTTTCATTTTGTTGTAATTAAAATACCCATGTAGGAAGTTTACAGAAACATGATTTTGTTCCTACTACAAATTTAAAAAATTATTTTATAATCATAGAGAATAGGTTTTGGAAGTTAAGATTTATTGATATTGTTTTCCACAAAAATGGATTTCTTGGAGGTGGCACGGGCTAGTTCTTCAGTCGAATCCAGGTGCTTTTCTTCTTGTCTTCCATTTTTATTCATAAATTTTGGGAATTACTTTAAACTCATATACCATTTTATCTGACTAATGTGTGCATTAATTCTCTTGAAAAGCATCTTGCTCTTGTTTGTTTTGAAAAATGTCAAAAGCATGGTGTGTGACACTATAGGCTTGGTTTGGTAATAGTTAAATTAATGGTACTCTTTTCTTAAAAGGTACCTATTTCTTCTCTATCAAAGCATCATATTTCTTATAGATGTGCACATATGTAGCCAAATGCAGAACTTTATATTTCCAAAAAATATCTAAAGGATATGTAATTGCTAACCCTTGTCTTTACCTTCATGCTCTTTCTCTTGGTGAATTAGATAGCACTTCTAGGAGAAAGAGGAAAATTTCAGTTTGAAATAGCCTACTAGAATTTCTTAATGTAAGAACAATAGGCATGGGCATATATGAGAGATTAGGCAGGCTAGTATTGGAAATATAAGAATCATTCACAGAAACTGGATAGGAGTTGAAATTATATATAGAGATGAGGATAATAAAAGAGTGTTTGAAGTAAGGAGAGAACAGTAGAAAGGTCATAATCCTGAGGAGACCCTGTACTTAAGGAAAGAGTGGGAAGAAAGGGTAGTTAGGAAAGTGCATGGATAATAAATAGAAAGGAGAAACAAGGGAAAATCAAGGTAGAGGAGAGTTTCAAGAAAGAAAGAATAGGCAAATTCTGTGATAGATGTAGGTGCAGGTACTCAATAAATTTATATTGGGTTGAATTGAACTGAAAAAGAGCAGAATCTCCCTCCTTCTTTAAGATAACTTATGGCCCAATGTATCAATAAAATAAGGTTGGAGTATATGCAATAGAAAATCCAAATTTACAGTGATTTTAGACACAAGATTTCACTATTTGATGGAAAAATTCCCAAAGATCGATATCTATAGCCATTATTCCACTTCCATAAAATAATTAGAAATTTAGACTCTTTCTGTATTGTAACTCTGTCTTCCTTAACTGATGACTTACACCATATTGTCCAAAATGGCATCTTGAATTTCAGTCACCATGTCTATATTCCAGCTAGTTAAAAAGAAGAATGCCAGAGAAAGACATGCCTTTTCCCTTTAAGGATATATTGAAAATTTTTCCACACTAATTGTGCTGATATCTTCTTGCCCAGAACTTAGTTACATGGCTACGCATAGCTGCAAGAGAGGCTTGGAAATGTAATTTTATATAATGTATATATATATATATATATATATATATAATATTGCCAGAATGCCATATGCCCAACTAAATCAGTGAAGATTTTATTTAAAAGAGGAGAACAAAGTGACTTATACTAGGTATATTTTATTGGTAGTGGTGATATGCAACTTGTTTCCTATATCATTGGATGGTGAGGTCTTCTATCCTAGCTACTGTGAATTATTGTATTCTCCTTTATGAGCTGAACTATTCCCCTAGCTGATTGGGATCCTAAAAGTATAGTTTAATCTTGACCAGTAGATTTGAGTCAGAATTGAAGGCCACAAAAGCTGTCTTTTCCATACCTGGGGGCCTTTCCAGCCACATCTTTAGGTATAGAGTATGATTGAGAAGCTTGCTTCACTTCATTTTTAGCTCATATTCATTTGGTCCCCTTTACCCCAGTACCCCTGAATGGCATCTGACCTGTAAACCAGAAGTTAGAGGAGTTGCCAGTGATTACTTGCTGTGCCTTGTCCTATCATATTCCAATAGGTTGTAATTGTTTCCAAAGCCACTTCTCTGGGCCTCATGAATTACAGCTCTTGAATTAACTATTAATTTTAAACAATTAACCCCAGTTGATGCATGTGAAACAGGTTTGGTTATGGATGGGTGGTTGATTACTACTTCAGGTTATATCTGTGTCAGTTCTAGGAGGATTCAAAAGAAAGTGAATTTGAGAAACATGTTAATAGGGCCCGAGGTGGGCATAGGAATAAAATGAAGGAGGAATGGCTTCTAAAGATAAATGATTTCTCAGAAGTTTAAAAACTATTGGGGGCCCTGCATTTACTTATTGTATATAAATGTAAATAATCTCTCATTTATTTGCTATATGGAAAACTATTGTTGATGAAGGCAAATTCTAATCCCTCCCCTTAGTGTCAAAAAGCAAATAAATTATTGATTAGAAAAATAATTCACTGCTTATCTGCTGTAGAAGAAGAGTGCTCTGTCTGATGTTGGGAATTTCCACACATGCATAACTGGGTAAGACATATTCTCTGCTTTCTAGCAGATCACATCACAGTTGAATGAACAAGACAGCCACTCAAAAAAAGGGATGTTGAAAGGAATAAGAACTCTCAATTGGATGTTTCAGGATATATTTAGAATGGAGGATATTTTAGAAAAAGGAATAACGTCAAATAAGGCTTAGAAGTTGGACTATACATCTTTCATAGAAGTTTCAAGTGCTTGATATATTTAGACCCACATCAGTCCCATAGAATTGAAGCAGGGATGGTTATCTTCATGTATTTACTCAATATATATTTATTTAAGACTGGACTAAGTCCAGAAGATGAGATAATATATAGTATAAAGATCTCTGCTCTCATGGACCTGAAATCCCAATGGTAAAGACAGATAATATATATAATAAATAAGAACTTGTAGGGTATATTTGAAGATGATAAGTGCAGTTGAGATAGTAGCAAGGCAAGGTGATGGAATGAAGAGAAGTTATTTCTTTGAAATGCTTGGTCAGATTAGAAATGACATTTGAGCAGAGGCATAAAGAAGTAAAAGAAGGAACCATGCAGGTATCTGGAGGAAGAGGGTTCCAGACAGAAAGCATAGAAAAAAATGCAAAGATCTACACAAAGGTGTAATTTTGATATGTCAAGGAATAGAATGAAGGATGGCATGAAGAGAAAATAATTAAGTGATGGGGAGAAAGATAGATTAGACTGGACAGTTAGCAGGGTCTTGTAGACCATAAGGAGGTTTTTGAATTTATTCTGTATATCTTGGGAAGCCATTGAAAGAATTAAGAAGAAGAATGATTTGATCTGATACATTCTTTAAAAAGTTTATTCTGACTGTTACAACTGATATAGTTCACAGGGGGGAAATAGAAGATTACTTTAGTTATCTATGAGATAAATGAAGTGGGCCAACAGTGGAGGGGATAAGAAGATGTCAAGTTCTTAATATATTTTGAAGATAGAGCCTACAGTATTTTATTATGGAGAAGTGGAGTGTGAGACAGTAATTTTGGGGGTACTTCAGTCTGTGCCAGACATTGTTCTAAGCACTTTGCACGAATCAGGTCATTAAATTGTCATAATAACTCTGTCAGGTATGTTCTATCAACTCTACAAATGAGGAAACCATGGCCTAAAGAGAAGACATTTAAGATTTCAAATGGTAGAATTCCCTGACTCCCAATGGCTTTTCAATTGTGCCAATGTACCAGCAACCCTCCATACTTTCTGAGGCTTGGAAATTCTATGAAGTAGGCTGAGCTTACATTTTGCCTAGCTGGGATTTTTCATGTTTTTTTTTTTTTTTTGTGTGTGTGTGTGTGTTGGGGTTGTGTCACTATTCAGGTAGACTTTAGTAGTGTTTCCTTTTGCAAATTGTTCAAGTTCTCAAACTATATACTGCAGACCTTTTGTCTGATAGGCTAATTCAACATCTTATACAAGGTAGATAAGGTAAATAAGCCATACTTTGATAAAGCCCAAGCTTTTAGACTCCACAGAATGTTATTGGGAATGGAATCCTAATCATTCCATGCTTCCAGTGTTCAGGCTCAGGCTCATGAATTGGCTATCAGAGTCTTCAGAACCCAGACTGTATTATAGTATTCTTCCTTTAATATTTGCAGAAGTTTCCACTCAAAATCAACCAAATATCCAGGAAGGTGATTGGCAGAACCTATCTGATGGGAATTGATAATGGTCCTAAATTAGAGGCATGGCATATGAACACACTCAGCCAAATTCTTTCTTTCCACTCCCTGGTCTATAAACCCAAGGCCTTTGTTTTTAACTCTCCTATCAAGTGATGCTCTTCCTAAAGATCCTCATATTCTGGCCACCCCTCCACACTACTATAAATAATTATTCATGTGCCCCATTTTCAATAAATCTTCTAATTCAATGCATGTCTAACTTATGCTTGATTTTTATGGTATGTCCTATTACAATAGATTCTTTTCATAGGAAATGGAACTTCATTAATAACAAAGTTATTCTTTATGATGATGCCAAAATTGTCAGAGATTTCATTGGGATATAATGATATACCTTGAGGGGAAAGATAATGGTGTGAGTTTCTCAAATTCTCCTTAAAATAGGTATTGAAACTGAAGTTGGAATTCTGTGGTAGGAATTCAAGCATAAAAAAGGGGCTTGAATTGATTGATTTTGGACCAAGCAAATCATAGAACACACAGCCAGTTTTTGTGGGCTCTGTAAGCTAATAATGATTTTTGAATTGTTAAATCGTTATAAAAATGTACAATTTGTGATAGAGACTTTCACAAACTAAAATATTTATGTGGCACTTTAAGGAAAACTTTTCCTATCCATGAACCCAAGATTCTGTCTGCTGCTCTAATTCTTTGTGTCCAAGTACAGGATAAATAATGTGGGCTGTTCATGTGTGAGGATTTCACAAACTAGTTTGGGTTGGACTTGGGCATTACCAAGAGCAGTTAGAGATACTGCACATACAGGGATGAAATCCAGAAGAGTAGTATCTTCTGTTGGCTCTAAATGTCAGTTTTCAGACTCCAGTCAGGTAAGGCAAGAAGGAATCAGGAAATGGCAACACTGGCAACAAGTTCTCATGGAATTCAAGGATCAACAATAATGTTTACTTAATATGGCAGCTCTGACTACTTTAGGGAGTGTATTAGTTCTCTAGCATTTTCATTACAAAATACCACAGATTGGGTGACTTCAAGGCCAGAAATTTATTTCCTCATAGTACTGGAGGCTAGAAGTTTAAGATAAAGTGTTAGCAGGATTGGTTTCCCCTGAGTTCTTACTCATTGGCTTCCAGATGCCCACCCTTTCTCTTTCTCTTTTCAGTATGCACACATCCCTGATGTTTCTGTGTGTCCTAATCTCTTCTTATAAAGATACCAGTCATGTTGGATTAGAATCCACAACAATGAACTCATTTTAACTAATCATTTTTAAAAAGATTTACCTCTGAATACAGTAACCTTCTGATGTGTTGGGGGATAGGGCTTCAAAATGTGAATTTTGAAGTTATACAATTCAGACCCCCATAGTGGGTTTGGAATGATTTCTCTTAGGATGTTTGGTTCTGAGGGCATTCAATTTATTCAAAGACCCCATAATTGGGCAAAACATACCTTAAAGAAGCCATGCTTCTTTTGGAAGTAAGACTTTAGTGGAAAGAAGAAATAGGGGTCAGACTGAGGAACTATTACTCAAATTCATTTCTTTCCAATTACAGTGGAAGCTTCAGGGTACAAGATTCTTGGGAGCAAAATTTGCAATGTTGCTTTCTAACCAATCCCTATTTTTTTTAAGAGAGAGAGAGAGAGAGAGAGAGAGAGAGAGAGAGAGAGAGAGAGAGAGAGAGAGAGAGAGAGAGAGAGAGAGAGAGAGAGAGAGAGTTTTTAAATATTTATTTTCTAGTTTTCGGCGGACACGACATCTTTGTTTGTATGTGGTGCTGAGGATCCAACACGGGCCACATGCATGCCAGGCGAGCACGCTACTGCTTGAGCCACATCCCCAGCCCCCAATTTTCCTATTTATTTTTATTTTGTCAACAGACTTTTTTGACTTCCAAAGGTTCTTTTCTGAGAGTTATTTTTCATTCATTTCTATTTGACTTTTGCTTTATATAGAGGCAGCATCTTGAAACCTCCTGATAGTAGTTAAGGTTAAATTCCTCTTACATCTGTGAATGGCTTCTGTTTCTTCTTGGGGCCATGTATTTTGTGCATTTTACTTGCTTTTCTTTGTTCATGGTGCTGATCTGCTTTAATGGTCCATGACTTTCTTTTCAGATGGGGATAATGAATTAGAGTAATTAAGACAGTTTAGTTGTTCCAGATCTCCTCAATGCTGAGTACAGGCTGCATTCTTCTACTAGCTTTCTTTCCTGATTAGGTTTTTTAATAGGGTAGTACAGGAACACTACTGTTGAACTTTCATACTGAAGTGGTACAGACTGTCTTTAAAATGGAGATCCTACTGTTTCAGAATTGGAGCATTTTACTGTGAATAATAATATACATTATCAAAAAAGGTTAATTTTATCTAGAGTGTACATTTAATTTTTTCAAGATGAACCAACAATTCAGTCCAGTTTCCTTTCTTTCTTCTTAGCTCTCTTTTCCTCTCAAGCAAGCAGTTTCTTGAATTTCACCATTATATTATTTCAGTCATATTATATCTATTAATTACAAGTAGAAGTACTTTCTAGGTTTCAGCTACGCAGTTTCAGCTTCTGTATTTTTGCAACTTTTTATTTACCATAATCTGAAATTAGAGAGTTATATATTCTTTCAAAGTAACCAATATGATTCAATCTGTTTTCAATTTTATAAAAATTGCCAACATGCTTTTTCTCCACACATACTTAAGACACTTATGCATTTATCCAAATTTAATCTTTTATAAGTCCTATAATGTCTTTCTTTTGAGAATGGAGGAGGCTAGGATGACTTATTTGCTTAGTCTGCCGTATCTCTGTGATACAAAAACTATATGTTAATCCAATTATAAATGGAAACTTGAAAGACTTTTATCAAAATTGCAATTTTACTTTATCAAATTATTAAAGAGTTAGCTTTTTCTTTGTATCTATAGGTACAAAGATGTTAAAAAATGGGGTTATTACAAAAATTAAAATCAGAAAAAAATTAAACAATGAGAGGGCATCTCAATAAAATATGGCAGAATTTTAAGCAATAGAATTTATTTTTATAGGCAGAATCAATTTTCTTACAGTAATTTTAGTTTTTTATGTATTATAAAAAGTAACATTTTTGCAACTATTTGATTGCATTTATCTTCTTTTTTCATTTAGCTTAGAATTAAATTGTACCTATTAACATAAGAATTTGAGAAAGTGTAACAAAACATAAAATACAAGTATGACTGTCTATAC